TAATATGTTTTGGGAAGTAAACCATGTCCAACAACTACAGCTACAATACTTACATCATTCACAAAGGGCAAAACATCTGCTTCACCCAATCTGATGCAGCATGTTCTTGGAAAGCAATCTTTTGAATAACTTCATTTTCAACTCCTAGAAATACTTCCATCCCTTGACTCTTAAATGGTTTAGAACATCATGGTGTGGTTTGTATAGGCGAATTCTTCGAATGTCTGCTTTCTCGCATAGTATTATACTTTTGCTTGGTGGAGGAAGATTGTTTCCGAGCATCGCGTATGTCACACCGAGTTCAGCACCTGCATTACTCAGGAGGAAACAAATGTTTTATGTATTAGCATTTTCCAATAGCAGACGAGAATAAGCATTTGAGGGAAGGTAATGAACATACAAACATAATTGTAGAACTGATCAATGAGTAGGAGAATTAGTATTGCATGGAAGAAAAGAGAAGACACTGTAGGCATGATGATCAAATATAAATGCATACACAAACACATACATATAAACACACATATATATAAATGTATGTATATATAGAAAGACTTATCAGCTGATGCTCAAATGATTGTTGTCGAGCGCAAAAGCATTAACACCTCGAAACCAAATCACGTTTGCTATTTTTTGAGTCGCCATAGAATTTCGGAAGCTAATTATAAGAAAATGGCTATATTAGACAAGTGCAGCATTAATTCTACCAATGATTAAAAACTAAATAACAAAATATTACAACTCCAATGGCCTCAATTAATTGATCTAGCTGATCTCTAACTATATAATACATTTATTTAATTCAATTATAAATATATAATATTTACAGACTTTATTTTAAAAAAATGATATATATATATATATATATATAAACAATAAATCTTCATTCAAGAATATTGGCAGAGAAGAATAGTGCATCAGCATATAGATTTTTGGTCCTTTTAAGTAAGAATAAGCTAGAGAAACCATTAAATATATACAAAATTATGTCAAAAATAAAATTTGAAAGTACTTATCACCATTTGGTTGAGACAAAAGAAAAGCCTCTTATCATAACTGACCTAAGTTGGCTAACTGATTACATTCTATAGGTACATATAGTTTTTTCTTCATAAACATATATTAGAATATTTACAAATAGCCCAAAACAAAGTGCAAGTTGCCAAGCACCAGGATCTCACAATTCACATCTGGGTTACTAAAGTTAAGAAATTCTTAGCAATCTCCTCCATCTTTCGCTTCTACCAACCGTGCTCGAATGGACTCAGCACTCGACATTTTATTGATGCTGAAAAAGGTCATAGTAAAAGTTATCAGTAGAAAGAAGTTTTAGTTTCCGACCATTTTGTTGAGGTAAACATAGCACTTAATCTTCCAAATATTTGTGTAAGTAGTGATAGCAGTACAACTGAGACTCACCAAATGAGAAAATCGCCGCTAGATGCCATCTTTTCAGAAATCCAATCGGGTACAAGTTCTAGCAACAAGTTTAGCTGCTCTCCAACTTCTCCTGTGAATACAAATCAAGAGTTAGCTTACCATCAAAGCATATTTTATCGAGAGAGAAATCAGCTGGTTATTGTAGAGACTGGCTTACTTCTATCAACAATATCAGTATGGCCTGCCACAACTTTGTACAGAAGCTCCTCTTTCGTTATGACTGAACGCCTTATTGATTGAAATAAAAAGTGAATCACGTTAAAGAGTTTAGGCAGGCAGGCAATCATCTGTCGCCTCCTCTTTGCTTGTGAGATTGCTGGATCTTGCTCCTTCATCGCCTTCTTCTCTTGCTCTCGTATCTGACAAAAATAAAAGGACATGATCAATTCTCAATTAAATTAGAACAGAAGCCTCATTACCCAATAGGATACATATACATATACTTATATCATGCCAGTTCATTGCCTCCAAGATCTTAAGATAATGACGTGCAAATGTTAGATAACAGTGTGTCCATGATACAGTTCTTTAAAGCTCTCAAGTTAGTGTTCGGGTAAAATCAATATCCCATCTTTAACCCACCATGCCTTATGCAGCTTTCACTGGATGAGATTGCAAAATACCCTGGGTCAGAAAATACTCACCTAACACCATCTAACACATTGATCTCAAACTCAGAATTATATGTAGGTAGAATCACTACATGAAAAATATGGACTAGCAAAAAAGGAGAGGGAATTCATAACAAGCTTACCGATTGCAGAAGGCTCTCAGGAAGGATATCAAGAATGTCATCATCAGCTGATGAATCTTCCATTTCATTTTCATGTTCAACTTTCTCATTTACTATGATAGCATCAACCTTATTTTTTGCAGGACTGTCAAAGTTCAGTGACCTGGTAAGAGGTGGACGCCGAACCAGCTTATTCGGTGAGCTTGTGGAAACATTATCTGGGCTCATATAACATCTTTTTGGAGGCTGCAGTGCTGGTGTGGCAGCCATCAGCCTAGCTGGAGTTGAAGCTAGTTTTGCAGGAGTTGACTGAATAGCAGCACATTTTTCAGGAGAAGTATCCTCGCTTTCCACGGGTTCCATCTCTTTGATAGGAGTTACTGGGGAGCAGCTAGAGAAAAACTTAGCTGGAGTAGTGCAATGGGATAAACATTTCTCGTTGCTAGTTGGCTTGGATGAAAATTTGATAGGAGAAAAAGTAGACATGGAGGAAGCTTCCTCATTGTTAAGGGATATCTTTGGTGAGGCTTGAATAGAATGCTTTGATGAATTTTTCTCACTCTTTACCATTTCAGTGCTCACAGCTTTCCCATAAAAGTGCCTCCGGAAAGATGGGGGCAGTCGAGATACTGCCACAGGTAACTTTCCTGCAGCTGTGTCAGCTGATGTATCTACAGTTGATGACAAGGTGGACTGCTGTGCTCGCATCTCCTCGCACTTATGATCTCCTTCAACACCTGATTTTGATAAAACTAATTGCTGGTTTGCCACTTCACCACCTGATGATTCACTGTGGGCTGACTGGGGGGCGGCATCCGAACTTTTTGAATGCAGACTTCCCTTTGAACAGTTAAACGGCTCCGGGAGCATTTCCTCTGGAACTTCATCACCCTAAATGTAGAAAGTTCCATTAATATCATATGGCTGTTTGTAAAGAAACATGACATGTCATATCGAAGTTCCCTATATTGCAGAAAAACCATGAGCAAATGACACCTGAAATTGCAAACTGAACCCACTAATATAGACAAGCATGAGACACTAAAACAACTAACGGCATATTACAGTAGGAATTTTCTCCTCTCAACGATTCTGCTTATGACAATGATTCAACAACATAACTCTATAAACAAGCGACTGAACTATGATGCTAAATTATTATTAAGCAGCAAAACCCAGTTGCAGAAATAGTGAACATATAGTCACCTAATCATAAATTGGTGAAACTGATAAACTCAAATGGTTCTTAGAAACTTTAAAAGCTAAACATGACTATGATTCAACAACATAACTCTATAAGCATGTGACTGAACTATGATGCTAAATTACTGTTAAAGCAGCAAAACCCAGTTGCAGAAATAATGAACATAGAGTCACCTAAGCAGAAATTGGTGAAACTGATCAACACAAATGGTGCTTAGAGACTTTAAAAGCTAAACATGACTATGATTCAAAAACATAACTCTATAAGCATGCGATTGAACTACTATGCTAAATTATTATCAAGCAACATAACCCAGCAGCAGAAATAATGAACATGTAGTCACCTAATCATAAATTGGTGAATCTGATCAACAAAAATGGTACTTAGAAACTTTAATAGCTAAACATGACTATTATTCAACAATATAACTCTATAAACATGCGATTGAACAGAAATGCTAAATTATTGTCAAGCAGTGCCAGTAAAGAATAAGAAGCAATCAACATCCAGAGTAAAACCAAAATACCTCAGGATGGTTTTTATAAAAGTCCGCAAGTCGTGCACGGAAGACCTTTCTGAGGCCAATGTTCTTACTTTCTGACTTCAAGCTCTCAGCATATTCAACAGCATTAACATTCAATGTAACATGAAGATCTGGCCTCATACAACAAGTCCTCTCATCAAATACTAGTACCCTCTTTATCTCAATGGCCTCGGGCAAGATATACTTCATCTGAGCCAAATGATTATGTGAAAACCTCTACAAGACATTATAATACAAATTAGAAAAAGTTCATACACTCATCAAACTCACCAGAAGTATAATTTATCTAGCTTCCATAACAGAAATAGATAGAAAATGCTAGAAACAAAGGGAAACAGTGAAATACTCCATTCTGGGTGAAATTGATACTGATAGAGCCAGATTTTAATGAATACCTATCCGTTAAAGACTCAATTTTGGGTGAAATGTTGGCAAAATTTGACATGGTTCTTTTCAATTTTAACAGCCGTATCGCACTGTCCAGTCCATCAAAGAACTCAGCTAACATCTCATACCTGCACATCACATTAAATCAGAAAAAATCAACACCAGAATAGAGGGGAAAAAACATTTGTCCGCTACCTAAAAAATTGAAAATAAAAGAAGAGAAACCACAAGAGTCTCACGTTTGAGGCAACTTATTAGAGCCCTCGCCGGCATTTCGGGTCTTGGGGAGCGGGGATTCGGCTGGCCACGACAAGATCTGCTTCCTAGCAGACTTGATCTGCTGCGTGTCCTGCTTGGAGAGGTCTTGTGCTGCTCTTCGAACTTCTTTCAAGGAGAGAGCAACACTTCTGTTTCGGGTGCGGCGAGGAAGATCTGACGGCGGCTTCTCCGGCGTTTTCGACGAGAGTAGTGAAGTAGGGTTTGTGGATTGGTTCTTTGAAGCAGAGTTCGTCACTAGCTTCTTCGATTTGAAGGGTATTGATTGTGAAGCCTCTGATGAATTCATTGTAAAAGCTAGGAAGAGGCGGAGAAAGGAGGAGAGATTGGTTGTTCCGGCCGGAGAAGGGTGGAGAGGGGGTATTTCAGGGGTATTTTGGCGGGAGCGCTGAGCTGGAGCTGCTTGCCACGTCGGACTTCCCGCCAAATATGTCCGTTGCCTCCCGCGAGCTTGTTTGGGTAGATTAAAAGAGAGAAGTTAGGGTTGCGTAATTTTAGGCCCAAAGTGAAATGTGGACCGATCCGACTGAGTCCACATTAAAAGAATGAGAAAATGAGCCCACTGAACTGAGTTAACCCAGTGGTTAAGTAAACTCCGACATGGCTTCAAGCTTCGGCCTTTCCCCGTAGAGAAGAAAGCTTAGAAAGAATCGAGTCAAAAAGCCACAAATTCGCAGAGAAGTTCATCTTGCCAGGAGGTATTGTTCGTCTTCACGTCTCTTTTTTAAAATTCTTAGAGATGGAGACCGAAAAAAAAAAAAGTCTGCAAATTCCCTTCTGAATCAAGGATTAATTATACTCCAATTTTACCAACAATAAAAATTCAGTGAATTTCCTCTTTCGTCCACGCAAGCGGCACTTCGCTTCTTTTCTTCCTTTTTGGTCTCTCTTTTCTCTGCAAGCAATAGTTTTCCAGTTTCCTTCTTTCTCTTATTTACCTTCGTACCATCTACTTCTTTCCTATTCGTTTCATTGCATTTTTTTTTTCTTGCGCAATCTTAACTGGGTAGGAGTAAATTTCACTGATTATTACTGCTTTTTTCCCCTTGCTTTTCACAGCTCTTCTTTGGTGGGTCGCAGGTAAGTTCGTGTTTTTTGCATCTATACTATCTAATTATTCATTTTGAATCTTATTTGTTTAATTCGCTTATCGGTTTCTTTCTCTAAATCTTTTTCGTTTTAATTTCTTCTGTTGTTGGGATTGGGTTTGAAAAATATGCTGCGTTTATGATTAATATAGCATCTGAGTTTGACTTGTAATTTAACACAGAAGCTTTGTTTTAATCATAGTTATCGCCATGAGCTTGTAAGAGTTCATGTTGGAGATAAAAGCTGCTGTTTTGCGTCTTATTCTTATATGATCATAAGGAAGTCCTATGTTTAAGTTTGGGGTTTTACTTTTTGAAGCATACACTGAGTTGAATCAGGATAGATTATTTTCTTCCTTTTTTTTTTATTCTTTTTTGCTTCTTTTGGGCTTATCCTTTGTGATAATCAATTGGTGTTGCCTTTTGCCCCTCCCTCAAATAGTTTTAACGAATATGGTGATTTATGGATTTTTCTAAGTCCTTTTTACACAGAGACTCTGATTGCTTTGGAGGTTCTGCGATACCGAGGAATTACTTATTCTGGAGCTGTTGCATTGCAGTTCATGCCTCACTGGTTAGTGATAAGTAAAATACAAGTTCTATTGCTCTTTGTTTATAGTTATTAGTTAAGAATGTGGTAGAAAATATATAAAAATTGTATACATAAATATGTTGTTCAAGTCTCTAATAGTTAGCAAACATTGTAATTGCCTTCAACGTTAGGCATCTTGGTATTTCATTTTCCATCAGTAGTGTGATGTCTTGGGTAATGCATGATAAGAATTATTGCATAGGGGGCAGTGTTGTTTTTAAGGACCTCTAGAACTAAAAGCACCAACAGATGTCTGGGGTTAAAATGTATCTATAAATGCATGAATGTAGTTTATAGATTTGGCCTGCAGGAAAGATCTTCAAAGGAACTGAAACTAATCCAGTGTATAGCAGTTTTATGGAAAATGTGGGTTTTTACCATTTTCGTTCAAAGTAGAGATAAAACGAATCAGGAGATAGAAATGTTTGATTTTACTGTCTTTATATTGATGCTAATTTCTAAGCCATATCCATCTCCAACTTAGTTAACTCATATCATTTTGTTGACACTTTATGTTACATCCTTATATACATGTGTGGTAAAACTTATTGATTGTTCTTAACAACCATTAACACCATATGATACAATCTTTGCCTGCTGAACTTAGGATTTTTTTTAACTCAGCATTTGCTCTGAACTTACATCATCAGTTTTCTATAATCTGGAAAGACTTCATAAATTTAATTCTGATAAGGTGCCAACATCATTGGTTTTATTAGAATGACTACGATTAGGGTCTCTCAGTATCCAGTAGCCTGTAGGTCAGTTGGTCCGCATCGGAGTGGGAAGATAAGGGGAAAAAAATCAAAGTATGCTGTTAGGAGCTGGGATTGATTAGGAAGATTATACGGTTGACATTCGTGGGATAGGGATACTGATTGAATATGTAATTGGGGTGCTTTAATGTCCTAAGACAAGTGTTTTCAAATTGAAAATGAATTTTACAAGCAATTCGATGCTTTCATGTTTAATTGGGAAATCAATTCGGTGTATATTTTCTATTTGTGGATATTCACTGTCAAGGGATGGGTAGTACCGACAAGTCCATGCCCTTTCCTATATTCCTTGTAAGTTGGGAACTGCCGCGGTTCATGCAAACTATAATTGGAGCACTATGTTAGAATGGATTCAGGTTTTAGAACCTAATTGTTAATTTGTACAACTTCTCATTGAGTCATTGGAATTTGGGGTTAGATTTAGCTTATATGTCCGGTAAAATTATAATTATGTTCATATTCTTTTATTATCTAATTTTTCAGGGTTTTAGGTTTCACTTTCTTACCACATAGACTTGATTTTGTTTAGTTATAAGACACTTAGTAGCTAATAGGAATTTATGGCATGGTCTTTTAATTATAACACCCTGACTTTTGGGGTTTTAAGCATCAAGATTTTCCAAAAAGACATTGATATATTTCAGTTTAAACATACGTACGAGGAAGTTATTGAATGGTGATGATTGTGCTCATCTTGTGCAATGATGAACAAAGAATCTTGGTGTTAACTCAAATTGCTGCTTTTACTCTTAGTCTTTCCTGACATACAAATGATTCTTCTCTTATACATGCTGCATGGTTTGTCTGTTTATATAACCTTATGGCCAGAATTAATCTAGTTTCTTTTTTTTGGCTCTTAGAACCTTGCTGTAACCATTTACGCGGTTTGTGGAATGGACTGGCTGTTTTGGCCGACTGCCTGTATTTGTGAATAATGTTCAGGGGGCAAAAGGCTGCAAATGCTCTTAGTATTTTCAAATGGGGAAATAGTGGTGAATCATCGTTAACAACACGCTTGGTTCAAGATGTGTTTCCTGAGATCGAGTTGTCTGAATATGGTAGGCTACCAAGTCCTGGAAGCGAGAGCCCTTCTGGACTTCTTAATGGAGAGAGCTTGAATGTGGAACCAATTGCGGACTTGGACCTGTTCTTTGAAAGACTTTACAGCTACTACTGTGAGAAAGGCCTTTGGTGCATTATTATAAAGTGGATTGTTGAGCTTCTTAGTCTTGGATTCACCATATGTTTTTCAGGATTCTTCTTGTTATATGTTGATTGGAATGGTCTTCGTAATGCAAAATGTGGTATGGATGCGGTTGAGTCTGGAATTAAACCATGTGATCTTGCTAAGGAAGCACTTCACCGGCACCCATTAGTCCCTTTTACACTTTCAAAGGCCATCATTGTAGGATATCTCGGGCTATTCTCAATATACTGGATCTTTTGTTTCCTCAGGTTTTTTGCCCAGTTAAAAGATACTCTTGCGATCCGGCACTTCTATCACACCAGGTAAGTCAAATGAAACATATTCAGAAGTTACTTTTAGGAAAACCTTTCTCACCTTTCTGTAGCCTTCATCATCAAACTGCAAGGTTGTTTTTTTTTTTTTTTTTTCATTTTGCAGTCTCCATGTTACTGACAATGAAATCCAAACCATGCCATGGGCGACAATTCTTGAAAAGGTTGTTCAGCTACAAAGTTCACAACAGCTTTGTGTTGTTAAGGATCTTACCGCCCATGATGTGGTGATGCGACTAATGCGGAAGGAGAACTACTTGATTGGACTGCTTAACAAAGGAGTGCTTGCTTTTCCAATCTCTCAGTGGGTCCCAGGTGCTGGTCCAATAGTTAAGTCTGGGCCAAATGGAGCTCATCGCCTAATGCTGACAAAGACCCTTGAATGGACCTTAAATTGGTGCATACTGCATAGCATGTTTGATCGGTATGTTGAATTTCAGGGTCAGAACCACAACATTTGGACATGTTAGATTATTGGATTATATCTTTTTTTTTTAATTGCTGAGGAGTCATTTTCCGTTTGTACTTGCTCTTCTTTTCAAGTTCACTAGTCCTACTCCATGCCTTCTTGTTTCTGTTCATTCCAATTTTTGCTGTTATTGATGAGTTGAAAGATAAGGATGCACCTGTTTCAAGGACCTATCAGATTATGTGCTTAAATCTGTCATTCTATTATTTTTATTTTATTGCATGATGTCATCTCACACACTGGTTTTGCTGTTTAAGACTTGACGTCAATGTTATCATGTTTTTATAATTTCTCCCCTTTTTATTAAAAGAAACGGGCCTTTCCCCAGAATTGGTGCTGCCAATGCAAAATTCTTGAAGGGTGCACATGCAATGATATTTTTGCAGGGATCATGGAAGTTTTGGACTGGTTACAGTAATTTCTTTTAATTGGTATTTACGTTTCATGTCGGATTTTTTTTTCTCTTATTCAATGGGTTAATTCTATATCCTTGTTTTCTTAAGTCAAAGTTGGAGTATTTCAATCGGAAGATGTCAGCTTCCTGGAATTATGAAATGAGAACAGTCTCGGAGCTGTATATAATCATTTTTCTGATTTGAACATTCCCTTGCTGCAGGAATTTTTGTGTTAGAAGGGACTTTATTTCTAATCCGAAAACATTAAGAAAAAGGCTTATGGTAGTCGGGCTTGCCATGCTTCTTCTGTCGCCATTTCTTGTTATATTCATGTTAGTATATCTGTTCTTAAGGCATGCTGAACAGTTCTACAATCATCCAAGCACAGCATCTTCTCGAAGATGGTCAAATTTGTCAAAGTGGATTTTCAGGGAATTTAATGAGGTAGTGCTTTCTTTCCTTCTCTTACAAACCAAAGGATTCTATTCTCTCTGTTGTTTGCAAAATCAAACAGATCCAATCTGCTATTTATATCTGGCATGGGGAGGAGTATCTCCTAGAGTACAATTTTTAGAAGTAATATTTTTGTTTGCTTTACAGGTCGACCATCTATTCAAGCACCGGATTAACAGCAGTGTAGTGCATGCTTCTGAATATCTAAAGCAATTCCCTTCACCAATCATTTCTATCATCGCAAAGTTCATCTCTTTTGTCTCTGGTGGCTTTGCAGCAATTTTGATCATCATTGCTTTTCTGGAGGAATCTCTACTAGAGGGCCATGTAACGAATTTCTACTCTGGCACCTTAAACATTTTTAGTAATCACTGCTGTAAATTGATTGTGCGCGGTGACATATTAGCTTTTTTGATGAAATTGTATATTTTTTTTATATGCAGATATTTGGCCGCAATTTGTTTTGGTATGCTGCTGTTTTTGGAACTATAACGGCTATTAGTAGAGCTGCTATTACAGATGAGCTTCTGGTCCTTGATCCAGAGGGAGCAATGTCTATGGTGGTCCAACAAACACATTATATGCCAAAGAGGTGGCGCAGTAAAGAAAATACCGAGACTGTTCGTGTCGAGTTTGAAACCCTATTCCAGGTAATCTTTCTGAAATATCTAATCCTGCCGCTTCCTTAGACTTGGAAATTCATGCGCAATCAAATGGAAAATCCTGGAAATTGCCAATATATATGGTACTTGGTGTTCCTTTACTCATCTGTCACTTAATTTCATTTTTTCTTTGCCATTAAGTTCAAAAAAGAGGATGTTGAGTTATTTTTTGGCACCTTGGGTAAATATTAGTGTAAAAGAGTATGCTGTTCAGAGTATGACAATACTGATCTTTTTCACTCTTATGGTGTTGCATGGAAGCAAGAAGATTTTGTTTCTACTGGCCTACTTATCTGCCATGTGCCATGTATTTTGGTGAATGCATTGTGAATTGATGTAGTTTGCTCTTTCAGTTTTTTGGACTTCTTCAATTAAGGCAATGTACTTATGTTGTAATGCAGTATACAGGAATGATGCTACTTGAGGAGATGGCGTCAATTTTCCTTACGCCAATTTTGCTTATATTTGTTGTTCCAGAGGTGTGTCATTTGGTCTTTTAATTATCTTTCTGATTATTGCTTTAACACTGCATGGACCATTTTGTTTGCTGAAGTACGTAAAGCTTTTGCTTTGCAGCGGGTGGATGACATTCTAAAATTCATTGCTGATTTCACAGTGGATGTTGAAGGTGTTGGTCATGTTTGCAGGTTAATCTACTAAATATTCTGTTTCTTTTTTGGGCCCTGCAATAGTGAAAGTCTCTAACCGCTTTAGGCTTGGAAGGGCACATTGTTTTCCTTAGGGGCTTTGTCACACACTTGCAGGAGTGTTTGTGTAATATTTCTCTGTACTAGTGATCCTTGTTTAGAGTCCCAGTTGGTATTGCTAATAGATTAGAGGAAGCAGGAGGACCTTGATATATGGAATCTCTGGTGTCCAAAACCGTTGCTCTTATGACCAAGTTGGTATGGCATTTTCTGTTACAACTTGCTTTTTTTGGCATAGGTTGGTTAAGCTAAGTTCGGGTTGCACCAAAACAGTTGGGATAAGAAAATTAGATCGACAATGACTCACAATCTTGTCACTTTCCCCTCCTTTTGGGAAGGGGTTCACGCAAAGGTGTCTTCACTTAGATCATGGTTATGGATGGACTAAGGAGCAAATGATACAGAGACAGATGATCCGTGCCGGGTTGTGGGCATTGTGGTTGAAACCTGTGAAATGTTTAAGCAACAGTCCCAATAAAATCTTGCTCTTTAGGGGGCTAAGATTTTGCATAAGGATTGAGAGACTATTTTGTTTTGGTCGCTCCTCTCTGCATTGCTTACATTTTGAGCTAAGACTTTCTAAGCTTGTAGTCCTTTGCTCTACTTCTAACAACACTACTTTTATCGCTGTATGTACATCTGTTTCTAAACCACAATCAATGAGTTTTGTGACCATGCATCATGACTGAAGACAGATTTTAACTTCTACATTTAACCTTCTGCAGTTTTAGCATCTTCGACTTTCAGCACCATGGCAATAGCAATTATGGCTCACCACACAATGTACCTCGTAGTCAGAGAAGCTCTCAGGGGAAAATGGAGAAATCATTTTTGAGGTATGATTATATTAGTGATATTGGAATCATGTAGTACTCTTGTTATTCTGCAGTGCCTGCAAATTCATAGACTATTAAAAGATGACTTTGAGTTGGAGAAGCAATAAAGACCATACTGTCAAAAAATTGTTCTATTTGGCTTGCAGTTTCCAGAGTAGCTATCCTTCTTGGGAGCCAAATCCGGAGGGAAAGCAGTTCCTGTTGAATCTTAGAACTTTCAGAGAACAAAAGCTGCAGGAGCAATATGCTAGATATGGATATTCTGCTGCTAGGATGTGGCGAGGTGGCGCAAATCTGAGAGGCCATGTTGATAGAAACAGCATTTTATCAAGGGAGATTCCATTGAATCCTCCTGTAACTGGCCATCATTCGGATTCGTTATGGCTAATTGATGCAGATCAAAAGAGTCATCCTTATCTTCTTGACTGGTACTATATGTCTCGGCCTGAACAGGTAAGCAGAACTGCAAGAATCAGTCAGGTAAGATTATCTGAAGCAACTGAACAATATCCAGGAGATTTTTGGATGCAACCAAAAGCAACGAAAAATGATGCGAGGAACAATGACTACTGGGAAAACCAGTACGAGGATCGGTGGCAGTCGCATCTGGAGGCATCAACATCAGCTCCTTTCTTCCGTGAGAGTGTTCTACAGCATCATGAAGCAAGCAATGTTGGACAACACACTAGAAGCCATTGGTGGGCTAGAAGCAGCCCTCGTGGTGCACAGACGGAAAGTTTTCTGGAGCCTCCTGATTTCAACCGCTACATTCCAGACAACTATCATGATAATTTCTTTGAAAGAAGTGAAGAGCAAGATCAGTTCTTGGATTGGAGGAGTCCACAGCGGTTATCCCAGACTGCTTACACGGATGACCTTGAAGTGAGAGGAGGGGATGTTAGTCTCCATTTCGATGATATTTACAGCAGACCTCCTGAAAGTCCCATTCTCGAAATAAAACCTCCAACCTTCTAGTGATTAAATAACACTTAGTTTGTTGAGAATAACTTTTGATTTCAGATGGATGGAATGCGAACGAGTTTCCATGGCCAGGCTGCAATTCATGCTGCGTACAAGGGAAACTCTGTATTCTTTTCTGTATATAGATTCATTATGCCTCCACTTGATTTACAAGGTGATATGGCTTGAATTTTAGAGTCCCTGTAAACCTTGTGGAAATGTATAAACGATTGTTACTGGCAATTGATCACTTCTGATCTCATTGATTCCACTTATTTGTTTGTATATATTTTTATTTGTTTGTATATATTTAATTTTCATACTCATCTTATACTCATAGGCATTTTTGTGGTAGGACAGTGTTGGTCGCATTTTGTATCTATCGATATTTGCCCACATTTTCTC